ATTGATTTACAACAAAAAGCATGGAGCAACACACAAACTAGCGAAATTCATTTACTTGAAGCTCAGGCAAATAAATGACAGTCTCGAATACCGTTAAGAATTCATATGAATTTTTCTAAGGATAATTCTACTTGTATTAATTAGATTCATTGTAGATACACAATTTTTTGGGTTGTCACACAAGAGACTAGAGTATAGGAAGTCATACATTTGGTATTATGGGCATTGGCCTAAACATTGGGTTGGTGGGGACTGAACTGTTGGTGAGTTTCGATGCACAATCTATGTACACAAACAGCTCAGGTGAGAAGGCAATAAGCGCTTTGCTGAAGATAATGGAGCGAAAAGAGGACATCCTGCAGGCAGAACGGATACGGAAGGAATCGTTAATACGACTGATCAACCTGATAGTAAGGACCACATATTTTACATTGAACGGCAGTATCTACGGGCAAATATTTGGACTACCGATGGGATCTCCACTCTCATCTCTTTTGGCAAATGTGTACATTGACAAGTTGGAAAGGGAATTCGAGAAGTCACTACTGCAACCAAGACTGCTTATGATATACTTGGATGACTACTTTGCACTTTGGTCACATGATAAGGAAAATGCAAATGAATTACTCAATTTTATTAAATAACTTGATGAAAAAATTAAATTCACAATGGAGGTAGGGGAGGATTAACGATGAGCCTTTCTGGATATTGAAGTCACTTGTTCCAACAGAACACTCATGAGGAGACTATGCAGGAAGAATTCATATGCGGGAATAATCCTTAATTTTCAGTCTCACCATAAATACAGGCTGAAGATCGGAATAGTGGGGAGGTTATAAAAGGCAGATTTCAACTCGGATTTTATAAAATTCCGATCAGGAATCAGGAGGATGACTTTTAGTGGATTTGCTTGCCCTTCTATGAACTGAGTCATAATTTGCGACTTTGACTAAGAAAATGGAACATCAAGGTGATAAAAAAGGAGGTGGCTACACTTTTCGCGAGTCTGCCAACGCAACACTAGAAGATTGACAAACTGGATTGCTCGGGAGTTTATCGCATAAAATGCGACAATTTTGAGCAGAAGTATATCGGAGAGACAGGAAGAAATATCGGCCTACAAATCAATGAACCTCAAAGACTACAATAATATGAATACGGAAAGACCTTAAATAGCGTAAGACATTGCGCGAACGGGACGCGAAAAATATCGGAAATAGACAGAAAAACTGGCTGTATATGGTGAAAATACTAGAAAACGCGGGATCCGAGTAACCATTCATATACTGACTGAAAGACATGTAATGAACAAGGAACTTGACGAAGGCGGTATGAGCGAAAACTTTGCATTTTGCCTAAACAAACTTGGAGAAGATCGGGCAACAGTAAGATCAGCCAGATCAATATAACATTCTTAATTTTAGGAAAATAAATCACAAGGAGACCAGAACGGACTAATTGGAAAGCAAGAAGAGACTTCTACAGTGAGCCTAATCAAAACAAGTAGACCCAGAACATTTGTTGGCTGGCGCACAAAAGAATAAGGCATAGGATGTCATACACATGGAATTATGAATATATGCAGGATAGACGCAGTGGGACTAGAGCTATTTGGTTAACAATAGACGTGTTTGATCATAGACTTGTTCCATAAATCACGTCCATCGTTACCCAACTAGCACTAGTCTCCACAGCTTTGTAATGCTTTCCATTAGTCTAATATCGACCAAATAATGGCATACGTCCAAAAGACCGGTCTTAGTCTTAAATTTTAGATTATGTCTAGAAATAATATAAAAAAATTAGGTATTAGTAGAACAAACAAAAGCTCAGCAAAGTTTCATCGGGGTCGCAAGAAAATGAATCAAGGACTTCTTCGCACAATTCAGCAGTCTTCCCTACGCGATAATTCTGCTTCGGTTTCCGGTGAGAGCCCATCACGAATTCCTTCCAATCAACTTTCCCTACGAGATGGATAGTCATGCTACAATATTTCATGAGGAATTCTTCTAAACCCATTTTCCCTCATATCTTCGAAGTACGTATGATTTTATTCTTTTCGGAATTCGCAATTATATACAAAAAACAATAAATCGTTGGCCAGGCAAGTCAATTAAATTCGCTTTTTGAAAGTTTGCTCTACCCGTAGAATTATACTTGGATTTTGTAATATTTCTATACCTAATGTACCTTGTAACATTAAGACCAATCTTTTGGACGTATGCCATGATTTAGTGAATATTAGACTTAAGGAAAACCTTGTAAAGCTACATTCTCTAATCAGAACTAAGACTAGACATAGGCAAGTTTTGTCCGATACTCTTAGTTCGGAAGACTTCTTGACACTCCAGAGTATATCGAATAAGATTTTCAGACAGGTTAGGAAGACATGATAAGAAATTAAGAAATTTGGGTATAAGAATTAGCTCAAGGAAACGACCCACATCTAATTTATAGAAGTGTAAACATAGTCGTTGCCAAAAATGGGTTAATCTGTCCAAAATTGGATCATATATTTCTACTTAAGATTTCCATTATAGTGTTTAAACTTTGCCTTTCCAAATGGTAAGGACTCCAAGGAGGAAATTTTGGTAGAATGGATAAGTTTAACGGATAATTTCCCAGAGGATACTAGGAATGAAATTGAATCACAAGTTGTCCCTTCAATTGATGGTCATGTAGAAACACCATATAAGAATGTGACAATTAATATTATTATGAGGATGCTTAAGTAGAACGAGTAACTAGTATTAAGAGCAGACAAAAGAGGAGTAGTAGTAGTTATGGATAAGACTGATTATGTAGAGAAAATGTTAGAGACGTTAGATGATATAACATATAAGACTATAATCAGGGACTCGACAGAAGGACTTAAAGGTCTTCTGCATCAATGTGCAAACAGTAGAGAACTGGAAAAGTAAAGAATGAATGCACTTCTCCAGCGAGATGCTAGACTTCCAAATGCGTATGGTCTGCTCAAAATCCATAAGCAAGGTACTCCATTTAAGATTAATGTAAATAATAGACGTAGCGTGATGCGTAAAGCGCGGGATAGAAAACTGGACCATTCTACTCGATTACTGATTTCGTCTTCTTGTCAGCTTGCGAAAAAGTTTGGTGAACTACTAAGTAATTGGATCATAAAAACAATGTAAAAAGGGAATTAACACTTTCTTCAGTTGTTCCTTCATTTTGAGAATATTCAGACTCTCTTTCTATATCAGGCTGTTACAGGCTTCTGTGCTCATGTGGTAAGCTCTATGTGGGGGAGGCCTGCCGACTCATTCATAAGAGACTATGCGAACAGAAAACCGCTTGTAACGGTCTGTGGGTCCAGAAATCTGAACTCGCTGAACGCAGGGCCAATACAGGACACTTAATAGACTGGTCTAAAACACAACTTTTTTGCTGGTTACAGGGACTTCACGTCAAAGCGTAAAATTAGGGAGTCTATAGAAATTAGTAAGACAGCCAAAGTCCTGAATGGGAAAAAAGAGTGTAGAAAAATATGTAGGAATTTTTGTGGCTGTTGGATAGACGTAAGGAAGAGGAGAAAGAGGGGTGAAGGAAGAGCCACTGAGCATGAGGAGGCTGGATTAGCCTCGTGTCTATCTAGGACTATTCATACTACTCATGACATGAGCATTACATGCATACGATTGGTGAGAAAGCCAATTTTGACACACATTTAGATGAGCAATTGTGATAGTGAAAGTGTGATGCGAGGGTATATGATTGTTGAATCGCCCAAGACAGCAGAGACCATAATTATTTATCTGACAATTTGTCAAAGGATCGGCTTCACTTGTCTCTTTGACGAGTTGTAATGTGGGGCTAAGCCTGGCAAGGCTCACTGACGATGCCGGCGAAATGTCTGGGAATGTACCATGTCTACGGTCCGACTCTGGTAATTATCATACATACTATGGATTCGGAACTAGATGCGTTCCTCTAGGTCTTCCGATCAATACAACCAATTTGCGCAAACACGGTCAAACAACTTGTATTGATTATTACCTATAATAGCTATTCAAGTAATTTCTGTATACGATTTGTTATATTTCGATTATGAAATCGTATTTGGAAATGTTAAATGATCCAGTTAATGGCTGATCGAATTGCTCATTGTTTATCAAAATTTGTTCTTACAAGTCCAAATAGGTTAATTTCATCTTTTCTTCACGCAACCATTTTCCATGGCTAAAATTAATTTCGTTTGCTTCGGTTGATTTACCTTTCTTACATTTTTTAATTACCTTTTATTATTATTAGGGCAGTATCGCTTACGTTCCTCAAGTAGCTTGGATTCAGCAGCATACACTGCGCAGCAACGTGCTGTTTGGCGCTCCATTCCTGCCTCTTTGGTACCGAAACGTGATATCTGCTTGCGCTCTTCTATCTGATATAGAAAGATTGCCATTCGGAGACGATACTGAAATCGGTGAGCGTGGAGTTAATTTGTCAGGTGGACAACGCCAACGAGTTAGTTTGGCTCGAGCCGTTTATCAGGCAAGTGCTATCTTGTTTAATCCTTGTTCTGTTTGTTAGATTTTCTTCGCATATTTTATAGATGAATATTCGAATCATTAGTATTGAAGACCCGTTTCTTAAAATACAAAATTTATTATAGTTGGATTTTACTTACTAAATAAACAAAATCCATATGGACAAATCAATTCTTCACTTTTAAGCGGCCATTATTCCTAAAATTAATGTTTTTAATAAAAATTATACTTGTCTATTTTGAGCCTGGATAACTGCCAAAATGTACTCAAGCCCCATGGACCCACCATATAATGTGGGCCACTTCACTTCGTTAGGTAAACTTGTTTAATTGAGTCTATGATCCCTTTGAATGTGTTACTTTCTTATTCTATGTTATTTTATATGCTTATGGGTATGAATTTAATATTTTTATGTAGTTGATATTACTCAGCACACACAAATAAAGGGTATGCTGATGACTCCGTGTAGCTGCTGTATTAATACTTATAATCACCTTAAGCAAATTAATTCTCTATAACACAGTAAAAGCATCCTAATGGCATCTTCTTCATTAGTGACATCATATCTTCACTTTCGCCATTATACCTTTTTTCTTTGCAATATAAATTAAGCAATATGCTGAAATTATTATTACCACTATAGCAGTGGACTTGGGATGATGGGCGTCTAACTGTCCTCTATGCAGTTCGACCAAGTTGTGAAAACGAAGCCAAACCAATTTTGAAAATTTCAAATTGCATATTAAAATTTCGGGACTATTCAAAATTGACTTAGGTTTTGCCTAATCAGTCTACATATGGATGACCGGCTTAATTTTGATACTTATAAATCTATATTTGTCTGTGATTAAATTCTATCTGAAATATAGTATTGGGTATAGAATAGCCAAGGACAATATATGCCAGAAGCCAAATTCAAATACACACTTCTTTATGTTTATATCGTTTGTAAAGAAGAATTTTTTATTTATAAATAATCAATTATTGTAAATTTCAGTTTTTTATGGCATTCATCCTGCTTATTTTTTCAAAAATTCATTTAGCAATCAGATATCTACTTTTTGGATGACCCTCTTTCCTCTGTAGACGCCCAAGTTTCAGAACATCTTTTCAATCAGGTAATCGGATCAACTGGCCTTTTATGCAAGAAAACGCGCATCCTAGTCACCAGTAACTACCAGCTGTTGATTCACGCAGATTGGATTCTAGTGTTCGGGGACCAAGGTCGTATAATTCAGAGTGGCACTTATGCTGTAAGTCTAGTGCATCGGTCTGATTGGGTTGACTGCTCTTCAGTGAAATATCTTTCTCATCTATGTCATGTATTTTTATAATCATCTTGCTTTTCAGACTTTAACACATTGCTATCATTAATGGGAGACTGTAGCTAGGACAATATCCTGTATAATTTATAAGTTTGACTATTAATAAAACATAAGGCTATAACAGTAGGCAGGAAATTTATCATAGTTTTTTTATATAATTTGATCGCAGTCTGTCTTTCCTATTTATAATTGATCTGACCTTGCTTTCATTTTAGTTTCTGTGAAATGTTTAAGCAACCAAACAACGAGAATGTATATAACACTTTTTCATCCTGTAATGTAGGCATGATTATTTTCAGCAGCAGACCCTTTGCTTACTACATTCTCAGATGTTTCTCCAACCTTGTAGTCGGCATGGTAGGAAAAAGGCTTTCTGGGGACATTGGCAAATTATAGCGAAGGCATTTACTATAAGAGTGGTCAAACCAAGAGAAAGGTCATGTCATTTTCGCTTTGGTTCAAAGGAAAAGGTAAAGGTAACTATAAAGGCCAGAGACATGAGTTCTACTTTAGCTCACAGTGTATGGGGGTGATCCAAAAGGTGACTTTACTCATTGTATTTGTCCTATTTCGTTTACGGTGATGAAGGACTGTTATTTGAGTTTTCCCACAATGCTATGAGTAAGGCTCACATTTACATAGAATTTCTCATAGCCTTGCTTTTTAGAAGGTATTTTATTCCAGGGTTGACTGCAGTTTCGACCCCACCTTAGTTTCATCAATATCCCGAGCGTGGCGTTTCCCAACTAAATACGGATTTCCAAGTGTGATAAGAGTAATACAATGATAATTTCGTCGATAGCTGTAGAGGAGTATCGGCAAGTCTGACAACTAGAAAATTGAAAACCCCCGATATTTGCCAAGCTGATGTAGTTTACTTCCCTCTGACTGGTTTTGGCCTGGTGTAAGGTTGTTAAAGCTCATTGATGATAATGATTATTATGCTGATGAATCGTCTGCATATGATCAAATTCTGCGGTCTGGCTCAGTGCGTTTATACTTAACCTATTTGCACAAATTAGGCTATAA